ATACATGGACCTTAAAAATCAAGAAAACATCAGACAAAATGATGAAATATCATTGAATGGACATTAGGCTAAATAAATTAATAAGATAAAATGACACATTCAAATCATAATTATTACATTTCTTCTCTCACAAAAAAACAAAAAAGCTAAAAAAATTCTTCCCAAACATAGTTAATTTAGTTAGGCTAAAAAAGTTCTTTCCAAATGAACCTTAAATAATTTCTACTTAATTATAGGCGGCCACAATCATAACGGGTATGACCAAGTGTTGACACCCCATTTTTGACCGACCTTAAGACTCAGACGTCACCAATTGAGCGCTCGGTGATGATGAATATGGTGCTTGCTCTGAGGTTACGGAATCTCGGCTGCGAGCCTTGCCTCCGGACTTCGGGGCTCTTTTGTGCTTTGCCTCAGTTTGCAAACCAGGTCCTGTTTTCTCTGTCTTCTCTTCCCGAAGGGAGGGAGAGGTCTCGTAGACCATCTCTCAGTGGCCGTAGGCTATGTTTCGCAGCCGTAGGCTAGTTTTTCTGTTTGGAGCCCAGTTTTTGATTTTCGGAGCCGTCGGCCGTGTGCCTCGGTTCGGGACCGCTTAACCACCTTCGTTTGCTCTGATTTTTGGCACACAGCTTATTTCCTCCCTTCTGAGGAACACTGTCACCCGAGAGACCAATTTCGTGGTCGAATGCCACCTCCGGTGCTTAACAGCCCATTTTTGGGGCCCCAGGCCGCGCGTTTCGGTCCCCGAACCTCCGTTTTGCATCCGTTTTGGTTCATTTTTGGTGGAGACCTTATTTTCATTGTTAGAAAGCTTGTAGGAGGGTGGGAGGCCAGCAATTTTTTCTGAAAAGCCAGTTTTATTTTTTCATCGCTCTTCGTTGCCCGTTTTCCTCACTAGAAAGCTAATGTTAACCACTCCCGAGCCACTTTCTTTAGCCCTAAACCCCATATTTGTGTTGTACACACCTGGGAGGCCACCAATATGAATAGGCCGGCCAGTAATTGTCTCTGACCCTTTTGAACCCCTCTAAGAAGTTGGCTTTTCTCTCTCCTAGTTCACATTTTCTGGGTTTTGACCACATATTTGTGTTGTGCACACATGGGAGGCCACTTTTTTGGGGTGGCCGACCAGCAATTTTGATTGACCCTTTTGACCCCTGGCCGGCCGGCCATGGGGGGTGGCCGGCCGGCCACCTGAACCTTTTGAACATGGCCGGCCTTGATCCTCTCTCCAAGTGTGTTCCAGCTGTGCAATTTGTTTTCCCCCAGATTTTGTATCCGGGGGGTTGCCTTTTGGGGGGGAAATTTGAATTTGATTTTCCCCCCTTTCCTTGCCTCTCTCCCTCTATAAAACCAGCACCCCAGCTCCATTTTGAAGGGTTACAAAAAATTGTTTAGAGCCATTACATACAATCCTCCATCTCTCTCTCCTTCAACCCTCCAAACCCTAAGTGTCTTGCACCATTTGCACTACAACCCATAGCACCACACCTCCACACTCCATTCCAGAAACTTGGAGGCCATTTGCAGAGGTTGGAAGCTCAGAAATTTGGTCCAAAAGCTGCTGGTTCACTGCTCTTCAAGGGTAAACACACATTTTCCTTAAACTTGCATTTTTTTGCTTCATTTATAAGCCATACTTGCAAGAATTTTTGGGCTCCAAACCAAACTAGAAATAGTCTTATTTTGAGCTCATCTTCATGTTTGATCAAGGACTTTTTGATGTTTGAGGTCTTCTCCTTACCCTTTGTGTTTAATCTCTCTTTTAGGCCTATTTTTGCATGGTATTTTAGTCTTATTTGTGAGCTGTTTTGAATTTGATCATAAACTGTAAAATGTCTTATTTTAAGCCCCTCTTCAACTTTGTTGAAGGGCTCTCCTCTGTTTGAAGCCAGATGCTACCACTTGTCTCTTAATCCCTCTCTTAGGTCTTTTTCTTGCATGTTGTTTTAGCCTCACTTGTGTTTATTTTCGAGACTTGATATAAACTGTAAAGTGCTTCATTTTGAGCCCCTCTTCAACTTTGTTGAAGGGATATTCACTGTTTGGGGCCATCTGCTGCCCCTTGTCTCTATACTCTCTTTTAGGGCCATTTTTACATGATAGATTAGCCCTATTTATGTTCATTTTTGAGACTTATTATAAACTGGAAAAAGGCTTGTTTTTACATAATCTTCATGTTTTATTAAAGGCATTATTTTATTTGAGGTCACATGCTTCCTTGTATGCTTGATTGTCCCTTGTTTTGAGCCTTACACCTAAGCCCCAATTGCATGCTCTGTTTGGCCTTCTAGCCACTAAAATCCAGTGGATTTTCAGTGGCTGGAACACTGTTTTGAGAGCCAAGATTAGAGGGGGGTGACCCCCTCTCTCCTTCTCTTGTTTTGTGGCCTTTTTGGCCTTCCAAAGAGACCCTACCTTGCATGCTTCGAAGTCACTTTCCAGGGTCAATTTGGTGAGTTTTAGGACTACCATATTTGATTTTCATAGTTTTTTATGCCATGCTAAATGTCTACCTTGCATGTGCTTAATAACTCCTTGCATGGCCCTCCAAAGTAACTCATTATTTTTGCATACCATGGTTGCATATCAGTGGTTATTTGGGCCTATTTTCACATGATTTATTCACTGATTTTTTCTGGTTTGGTGAGATTACATTTGCTTCATATACTTGCCATGTAAACCATGATTGCTAGTCAAGATTGCATGCTATTTTGTCCAGCATGCTAGCATCTTTTGGCCATGCTTTGAACTGGAAATGTTCATGTTTTGGGAGTACCTTGGCTCTGTCTTTAGACTTCATGATCAAATAATGCATGCTTTGTATAGCTATAAGTTATTCCATGTGCCTAGTTTCGAGTTTCGGGGTTCATCTCACGCATCGGGTGCCATTTTTTCATGTTTCAGGACTGTTTAGCATCATATTTCAGTGCTGAAATTTATGAGTTTGTATGCCATCTTGCATCCCTTGCCATGCCTTGTTAGAGTCGCATGTTATGCCTAGGATCAGTCCTCGGTTTGCGTGCATGTGTGCACGCATTTCGATAGTCCCATTTTCACCTAATGGCTACTGACGTGAGTGTGGCTGAGGTCCACTCATGTTAGTGTAAGTCCATTATGCATTGAGTATGCCATTTCATTTCATAGCATTGCGTATGCAAGGTTGTATGTTAGAGCATTGTGTATGCCTCGTTACATCGTGCATTGTGTGTGCCATTTCATAGCATTGCGTATGCTAGGTTGCATGTTAGGATTGCATTCATGCATGTCATGCATATTGCATTGTGCTTGGGATAGGAGTTAGCCCAAGCACGAGAAACGAGGGACGCTTCGTACTCCGAGTGACGGAACGTGTCTCAATTTCCGGTGGCCGACACTCCGGATTATCCATAATGGAGTCTAGGCCTTGTTGTGTCCATATGTGCATTCATTTCATATTGAGTCATGCAATTCAACTTCTCGGCCATCATGCATCGAGATGCGTGATTGGTGGCACGAGGATCGAGGACTACACTCCTTGAAGAGTAGTCATGCATACATATGTGAAAATACTTTGCCATGCCCCTTTGTTGCTCTATGTTGCAGCAAATCAGAAATCAGCAACCTTCCGGAGTCTGGCACGCATCCCAAGAATAATTGCAAACAGAGGCAAACCGGGGCATCACAAGGGATTCTCCGCATAAGGCAACCCGAGCATGCATCATTCATCATTCGGAACAGAGCTGAGGCGGTCCATGGATTTACGTGCCAATTTACTACTTTCTTAGATTAATTTGTTAATTATTTAGGATTCTGTATTTATTCGGGACTATATTATTTATTCATTTGGGACTGTATTATTTATTCGGACCCTCCGAGCGAGGGCACAACTGTAATAAGTGTGCGTGTGTGTGATGTATGTCTTCTAACCCCACGTCTTTCTCCCTTTTATTTACCCGCTTATGATGGTTAGATTAGGGCATGTTTCAATTAGCATACAGTATGATAGCATGTTTGCATTCATTCATCTGTATTGCATGCACCGGGCTCGGCGCACCATACTAACTGCATTTGTATTTCAATTCCAAATTGAATACGTGTTAGCTGTAGCATCATCATATGCCATGTTTAGAATAGCCAAGCCTATCATAGTTGCATTTTGCATGTGTTGCATTAGGCATTTCTGTATATTTAGGATCATGCATGGATTTCTAACACAGCTTCTGTTTTGGCTTGAAGTGCTTGGTAAGTGTTTATGCTTTAGCATCCTTGCATGTGTGTGAGTGACTGCCATGATAGCATGCTTACCATGAGGCTATATGCTTATGTGATATAACTCTCTGAATGCCTGTGGGTGAAGGTTGAATTATTTGAATTAGAATAAATGCATTGACTGTGAGTTTTAAGCCCACTAGATAGTGGCAAAATCATGTTTTTTTAAGCCCACCCGAGGGTGGAAAATCCACGTCTTAGCCTACTTGCGGGTAGCACCATCAAACCACTTTCAAAAATAAACATGAAATGTTTTGTTCCAATTCAGACGATCCAGTCTATACTTGTATGCTGTGCGCATCACATAGTAAATCTAGGCTAATAACCGGAATAAGAACGCATAAAGTTTTCAAAACTAGATATCATGGTTAGTAGAGGCCGATCTTTGATCGGGCGAGCGGGGGTGCTCACGAAGTGACCTTCTCCAATCGTACCCAAGTTCCCGAGCCGAGGCAACTTTGGTGATGACGGACACGTGGCCTTAGGCAACGAGTCAGGGTTTCCTAATTTCCCCAAAATAAAACATTTAAGTGGCGACTCTGTATCTGGTAAAGCAGTCCATGTTTGGCACTTCTTTCAAAATCTGTTTTCTCAAAACGATTTGCCGGATTTGGACTCTTTGGTTCAGATTTAGAACCGTGACAATTTGAGAGTCTGAACATGTAGTGAGCCCAAATGAACAGAACGGGACTCATCCTCCCGAGACGTTTGGGGACGTCTACACCAAGTCTCTCACGAAAAAATATGACCATCAAGATAATGCATAGAAGTTTCAGAACCACAAACAAAGTTTCTAGAAGCATCCCAATAGCACATGTTTTTGTAGAAATCTGCACCAATCTCATCCTTCGCTCCCCAATGTACTGATCAAGTGCTATTTCTGCTCTCCTCTGTGTTGCTAAGCATCTAGCCAAAACGATAGCATCTTCTAATGCAATTGAGCCTCCTTCTCCGAGAAATGGGCCCATTACGTGCATGGCATCTCCAACAACCATCACTGTTCCTTTTCTAAACCTTGCGTTTAGTAATTCCCATGGGGCTCGATATCGAGTACCATTAAAAGTTAGTGAATCTACGTCACAGTTCTGTATCATCTCTAACATTTCTCTTAGAAATCCCTTTACTGATTCTAGTGTTGATGATATGATTTTTGTTGTATCTTTTGACATTATTAAATCTGCATAAATATATATATATGTCATCATCAATATCAGTAATGTTACAAGCTCATAATTTTTTTAAAAATACAATGTGTGGCTTAATTCTTTTTATACATAAAACTTATACACTAGCTAAATTTTAATCACAAATATAGAAATTTCTAAATTAACATTATCATAAATGTACAAAAGTATTGGGACAACCAAAAAAAAATAGATCTCTAATAATCTTTTTCGTTCTTTCTTCTTCTTCATTTAATATAAGGATAATTTAATAGTTATATTATTTTATCAGTATTTTGTTTATACTTAATGTGAAACACTCACAATGATTCAATATTAATGAGAGTCACCTGAATTTCTTGAACACTTTTAAGATTGAGGGAATTACTTTTTTAGTTGGACAAAGAAACAAAACAAACAAACAAAACTAAAACTGGAGAGATGCAAACCCCTACAATTTTTCACTTGCATCCCATCATATATAATCATGTGCACCTCCAATGTTCTTTTGTAATTTTTTTTTGTCCCACTTTTGAGTAATTCTCCCTTCAAGATTTGAAAAAAAACATATGACTTTTACTTTAATACATAATTGAGAGTCATTTGGTATCACAATTTTAGTTATTAAGTTAAAAAAAAAGTCAAAATCAACAAAAAAAAAAACTAGTACAAAAAAATTCAAAAATCTTTTTTCATTCACTTACTTTTCGAACTTTTTTCGTAAAAAATAAAAAAATATATTCTCAACTCATATTTTTGCCAATAAGACAAAAAATAATTAAAAAGTAACTTCTCAAATAGCCTCTAAGTTGACATGTACAGAGAATCAATTAATTTGATGATTTTTCTTTTTGTTCATATGTTAAATTTGAAAGTCTGAGTCCCCCAAAACAGGTATCAAGAAAATGACCCAAAAAATAAACAGTGCATTGAGATTCAACGGTATTGTGATTCACATATAATTTAAATTTGAAGCAGATTCTAATTTTAAATAATCCAAAAAACAAGATATTATCTTGAGGTGGATTGGATCGGGTAACAAACCAAAATTACAAGGTTGTGATCAAGGGGACTCTTCAAGCAACATGGCCTTGTTGGGTAACAATTCAGGGCTAAATCCATGTCCATTTTCGTAATTTGTGAAACCCCTCGCTCCGCCTATTGTTGACTGCTTCGGAGGTTTTAATCCAATGAATTCGCAATCAAGAGTTTACTCCATCACATCCTATCACTACTGCCATTGATATATATACACAATTACAATCCCAAATTAGATCAAGAATTTTAATCAATTAAATGATCTTTCACTTTGGTTTAGTTTTCAGTGTAGTCTTTAAATTATTATTATTTTTTACACTTAAGTTTGTTCGATTGTTTTAATTTTTTGCACCTAAAAAAAAATTTGTTTTAATTTTCAATGAAGACATTCAACTTTGTATTGTAAATTTTGAACTCTTTTCTATTTAAATCATGTTACTCTTATAAATAAAGTCAATGCACAATTCTTTTTTTACTGTTTTTTGTTGGTTATTTTTCATCTTCAATAAAAAAAAATCCAAGATTTTTCTAACACTTTTCATTTTTAGATCTACTAGATTATAATACCTAAAAGTAAATTTGTTTCTATATTCTTCTAGATTAGACCATCACTCATGAGTATTCTTTAATCTATTGGAATTTGTTTCTATGCAAATTTCAAACGTTTTTGTAAGATAAAATTACCATAGCTTTGATTACAGTGCCATCATGAAGCTGGAGAATTGGAAGTGAAGTTAATGGATCCATTTGGACATCAATTATTTTACAGCCAAAACGTTATTGTTCCAACCGGTAGCTCATTTGCTAGGGTTTTCACCAGAATACTTCATTTAAGGCTCGAGCTTCTCCGTTCCTGGCAAAACGTAAGAGTAATATCATCAATATATTTGTCGATATTATCTGATATTTATTATTATCAATAGATGATTAATAAAAAAAAAGAGAGGAAAAGAAAAGACAAAAAAAAGGGAAAGGAATAGAAACGAACTCGATTGTTGTTTCTTTGAGGGTATATTATCTGTGGAAAACCTCTCGAAACCTAGACAAAAACTTATCAGAATTCAAATATTGAGGGAAAATTAACATGGAAGAGATTCAAAGCAATGATTTGAAATATACATATATTGATTGATATATATATATATATATATGTACCTCAGTATTGTTATTTAAATCATGAGTAAGTATATTTACCGTAGAAAAGGAATGGCAGTTTGTCTAATTTTGAGCAACACCAAGCTTATCAAGTGCGCGCCAACCATTCGATTATATGCCTATGTGTTGAATACCGTTCGTCCTGTGGATGGATCGGACTGGTCAGCTCCCCAAGGCCAGCCCAGAAGAATCGAGCCACTGGAATATCCTGCAAACAGTTCAACGGGGAACGGGATAGTCCCCCGGCGAACTCTCGACAACAAGTTAGGAAAGAGAAGCAGAGTATATGGAGAAGGATTTGAGATAGAGAACTTAACCTTTTTCCTTGTCTACAATGTTCGCTTTATATCCTTGGCAATCATTTCGCTGTCCCTTCCGACCTGCACTCCTTGCCGAAAGCCTATGCTGTAGCTCGCCTTGCTCAGGTAAGGGGTCCTATTCCGGCGGAGAGGTGTTGTCGTAATAAATGCTATGATGGGCTACTTTAATGGTGTGTGCAGTGTCAATACTTTGCAGATCTTTGTCTGCTGATGTGGTTCATCCTTCTCTTGCGTGTGTCTGATGTCATTGGCTCTTTGTGTCATGTTGGACTCCAGCTGTCCTGGACCTCGTCATTGGGTTATGCACTTTGCTTCAAGTGATGGGCCGTGGGTGGTTCATGCTTTATGGGGATTATACACATCAGTAGTCCCCCAGTCTCGAGTGCAGCTTTAGTCCAATGAAGGGATTATGAGTGACATAGATGAGTGGTGTTGGGATTGGCAGGATGGAGTCGACCGGGAAGAAGGGGGGTGGGGCTGACCGCGATGAGGGTCGACCGCGATGTAGACCGCTGGGAGGACCGATCGTGGGAGAGGCCGACCGAGGGCTGACCGAGGGGAGGGCCGACCGAGGGGGGGCCGACCGCGGTGTTGGCCGAGCGGGAAGGTTGACCGCGGGGAAGGCCGACGGCGATATGGACCGACTGGAGGCCGACTGGAGGAGGGCCCGCCGGAAGGCTGACGAGGGGAGGGCGACCGCGGTGTTGCCGAGCGGAAGGCTGACCGCGGGGAGGACCAACCGCGGGCTGACCGAGGGGAGGCGATCGCGGTGTTGGCCGAGCAGTGAGGCTGACCGCGGGGAGGACCGACCGGCGGGCTGACCGTGGGGAGGGCCGCCGCGGTGTTGGCCGAGCAGAAAGGCTGACGCGGGGAGGACCGACCGTGGGGAGGGTGAGGTGAGGGGCGTGGGGCTCGAGACGCGGCGGGCCACGTGGTGAGTTGACGTGGAAAAGACAAGGTAAGGGGGGACAGTGGATCATCGACGTACAAGTGGCACATCCGTAGGGGGGCAGATTAGGCGTTGGATCAAGAATGAAACAGTAAGTCATTATGGTTATTGAAGAGACAGTTTTGGCAGACGATTTTGAAAAGTTTTCAAATGGCGAAAATTAATTGGGACCCTTGGAATACGGGCAAACCATGGGCTTTTGGCATTATTCGATTTACCTACTGTGTACGAAAAATCAAAATATTCAAGTGTGAATTCCTTTGTTGCTCACAATACACCTTTGCAACACTTTTCAATTTCCTTGTTCCTGCCGCCGAAGCGATTCGCAGACATACCACCAGAAATGGCCGAAGAAGGAGTGCGATTGTCAGGGTGGACCCGCTTGGTGATGACAATGATGGAGGATTGGCGCAGTATAGGACAGAAAGGGTGGGGAGCCGGTGTACGATCCACGGTTTCACCAATGATAGCGACGCCAAAACCAATCAGCCAGGTGGAACCAGATCCATGGCAGCACGAAGGCTGACAAATCCACGATTACTGAGGCGGTTAGAGGCTATCCGCAAAAAATACCAGATCCCGGGGATGTGGAGTTGTTGCTACGACAGCAACGGAAAGGCCGTCTGACGCCAGGCCAGGGGAGTTTTCCCTTTATGAGGAAGCTCTGAAGGGTGGACTGAGGTTACACTGCCGCAAGTGGTGGTGGATGTGCTTAACCGTCTGGAGGTAGCACGGGCCAATAATTGCCTAACACATGGAAGATCTTGCTGGCCTGTGCCAGTGCGTGGCGAAGGCAAATGGAGGAGAGGCCATGACAGTCACGAATTCTTTGCGTGTTATAAGGCATCGGGGCAGCAGGAGACATGGGTCACCCTGCAGGCCTACAAGTG